ATCCCACCGCAATAAGCAAATTTAAGTGTTTGGATAGGAGTCTTTAAAAATCAGCTTATTGTGGTAGAAATAAGCAAAATAAGCTGATTTTAATAAGCAAGGGGAGAATGCTTATTGCTTATTGGTCATTTTACTCATATAAGCTGTTTTATTTTGCCAAACACTTAAATGCTTATTGCTTATTACTTATTCCCACCGCAATAAGCTAATCCAAACACATTTTAAAAAAATGCTTATTCTCACCACAATAAGCAAATAAGCAATAAGCTAATAAGCTAAAAACTATTTATCCAAACACCCCCTTATTTTCTAAAAGTTAGTTATGCTTAGGCCATGAGGTATGAACTTCATTTCAAACGTAGAAATCCTATGCGGAACCACCCCAATGGGTGTAATGGTGGTGCGGATTGAAGCCACTCACGAGTTCTCACATCCAATCAAAACCATTTACCTCTATCTGTGGAGTTCACCCGTTACCATTCCCGATATAGCTGATGACCTTAGGCTTGAGGGGGTGGGAGGTGTTAACCCTCGCTAGTAAAATGTTACCCCATTCCTTACCATTTGTTAGCCAACTCGCCAAAGAGGTAGCGAGAAGAGAGAGGAAAAAGAAAATGGTGGTGAGTTATGATTGGTTGTTTCCATTTTATCTTTACTTTTTTTTTTTTTTTCAAACTAAACCCTATTAAAATAACACATCACTAAGTCTTATCAAATGCTAAAAATTAGATCTATCAGAAAAAGTTTACTTGTCATTTAAAAAACTGATGTGGTTAGAAGTGTTATAGCAGAATCCTTATCTGAGTGAAGAGTATGACCGACGATACAAGTCTGCAGATCCATCTTTTCTTTCACACTTTCGGCGATTCAAACACCCGTGTGTAGAGACTAGATATTAGAGAGAGAATCAAATGAGGCCTCAAATAGTATTATTTGGGGATTCAATAACAGATCAATCCTTCAGATATGGTGGATGGGGTGCTTCTCTAACCGATGCTTACTCTCGCAAGGTTCAATCCTTTCCGCTCCCTTGGTCTTAAGATAAAACCCTACTACTCAGATTTTGAAAAACACTCTTTCGTTTGTTGCAAATATGGCAAATTCCTGACTCGTTTTTTTTCCCCTTATAAAAAGGCTGATATAGTGGTCCGAGGGTATGGCGGATACAACACTAGATGGGCTTTGTTCTTGTTGAACCACATTTTCCCTCTGGTAATTCATATCGATATATTCCCTCAACTAGTTTTTCTATTGTTCATCGTGTGGCTTAAGATTGTATCTACAAACAATCTGGGAACAGATTTTGAAATGAGATCGCGAACTTTATTGCTGTGAGCTGGTAGCTGTGTTATGTTAACTTTGAATAATGTGGCTTAGAATTTATAATGATTCTACTGTTTGAAATTATTGCTTGTTAGGCTGGATCTGATTGAACAAGATAAGTTACTTAAAAGAAAAAAGTTACTCAAGATGCAAATTAGAACATATATAGAATAATGATGTCTGATGCTTGAGGTCGGAAACTTTGAATTCAACCATGTTTTTGTTTAGATCTTCAATGAGTGACATTTTGACACGATTGAAGGGTATTTTAGACAATTGATCATTGAATGGTAGTATTTTGTGCAGGATTCTACCACCCCTCCTATTGCTACTACAGTCTTTTTTGGTGCTAATGATGCTGCACTTTTAGGGAGGACAAGCGAACGCCAACATGTCCCCCTAGAAGAATACAAAGAAAATTTGAGAAAAATTGTTCATCATTTAAAGGTTTACCAAATTTAATATTTTTTCGTTAATTCCAGTTTCAATTCAATTTACTTTCTAGTTTCTCAATATTTGATCAATTTCGTAATGCAGGAATGCTCCCCCACAATGCTAATAGTGCTTATAACTCCCCCGCCAGTTGACGAAGAAGGGCGTCTAGAATATGCAAAGTATAATTCCATTTTAGTTATCATTTCCAAATTCAGTTTTAATATTTTTGTTATTAAAAAATTGCAACAGATCTTTATATGGCGAAAAAGCAATGAAAATTCCTGAAAGGACAAATGAAGTCACAAGAACTTATGCAAATGGTTGTGTTGAGGTGGCTAAGGAACTCGGTGTTGCTTCAGTCAACATATGGTCCAAGATGCAAGAAACACAGGGATGGCAGAAAAAGTTCCTTAGGTTAGTAATTTTTTTTCAATTAAGACAAGAAAAAAAATATTTGAGAAAATAACTAGTTTTGCAATGGAAATTGTGTGTTTACAGTGATGGACTGCATCTAACAGGAGATGGGAATAGGGTTGTTTACGAAGAAGTTATAAAAGTATTCAATGGAGTTTGGCTTTCTGCCTCTGAAATGCCTCTTGATTTCCCCCATCACTCACAGATTGATCCTCACAACCCTGAAAAGGCTTTCCAGCAAAGATGCTTGTAATAATAGTATAGTACTAAACATCAATCTTTTTCTTTTTATATTATATTTTCTTCACAAGAATCTTGAATTCTACTTGTTTTGAGGAATCCATGAATTAGAGGAGTATGTGGGTGTTTTAAACGTTGGTTGCCAGAGAATCATTATTAGAATGAGATAATTAGTTGCAAGAAAAGATTAAAGTAGTATAAAGGATATATTAGATAATTTCCATATAGTATATACCATTAAAAGTCAATTTTGTTGGAGCAGCTTTTATATGTTCTTTAGAATCTGATTATTTTCGTTTTAAATCAGGTCTCAAAACATTCGTTTTTTTTTTCTTCTAAAAATATTTATTGACCTTTTTCCTTTTTCATTCCTTGGCTCTTATGTTTTTTAAACATTGCTGGCATGGAGATTACATGTTATGTTCATCTAAGAATATATCACGAAATTATATGGTTAATGCGATTTGAAATGATAATTGATAACTAAAATTATATATTCACCCACCTCTAAACATAATGCAAGTCATTTTAGAAGATGTCTCTGTTTTTCATATGAATGTTATTTTTGGTCATTTAATTTTTAGTTTTTAAATAATTATATCTGTCAAATACGATAAATGATTTTTGGTCATTTTGGATGGTCGTGTGACCTATGTATAAAGCAAATTGCATAATGGGAAAACCAAATTTTGTCCATTTTAAGTGTTTTCGAACCCTGCCATACATACCCATGGAGCCTCTCCTGTATCCCTCTAGAGTCTAGACACTTGACTTTCCTGAAAAGTCAATGAACACTGCAAACTCAAATGGTCCAAGTTTGAAAGTTGCCAAAAAAGACCAAGCCCAGAGAGAGGTTTGTTTATTGTTGTTACTTTGAAGACTTTTGGCTAGACCCTATTAACAGATGAAGTTCCTTCCTTGTGTCCCTGAACTTAGCCCAACTAATTACCTTAGAGAAAAAAAGCTAATAACTTTAAAAATTAATTAGCATAACAAGTGTCTACTTTTGTTTCAGTTTTCTTCATTTTTGGATTAGAGAAGCCCGTTTTTACAAGTCGGCCTCAATGGTTATCTCCTAAGCGGACTATAAATATTAATAACTCAAAATAGTAATAAAATAAAAAAAGAGAAAATTTGCTATCTAAACAATTTTTTTATAAGTTTACTATTTTAAACGATAATCTAAAACCTTTTTAAGGTTTACCATTTTAAACGAAAAAACGAATCATATTGGTGAACATTTTATGCGGTGGCGGATGTAGTAAGTTACGAGCCCCCCAATCACTTTGTGTGGACCATATAAATTTAATGAAAACTTTGGCCCAAATTCTAACATTGTTATATAAGTTGTAATTAACCTCTTTTAAACACGTTTTAGATGTTTGTGACATAAGTTGTATATTTTGCAACTAACGTTTGTGTTTTCATTGATCCTTTTGCATTCAAGGAAATTGTATGTTGGAGAAAATTAGACAATGGAGCATCGGTTACGTAATTAATTATATATTTAATGTTAATAAGTAATTATCGAAGAGTAAAAGGTATCTTGGTCAATTCAACGAATATTAATTTCAAATGAGATTATTAAGATAAAAGTTATTCTAGAGTAATACATGAAATTCATAAAACTAAATACATCAAAGCAACACATGAACACACAATCAGTGATAAACATTGTAGGCCTTTGAACAGGTGCTACATATTATAAAATTTGATCGTAATAACATTCTCGACCATAATCAAAAATCATTTTCCAATTTCTTGAAATATGCTCTAAAATATATCTTAATAATTTTTTATGTAATTGCCATAACTTGGTCCATGAAATATGAATTCCTCACAAGTTTTATAGTTGCAAGTTGAGTAAATTATATATAGACAACTAACTATAGTCTTTTCGCTCAACATAACAATTTATTTACCCTAGGAGACTAGGAGTAAGTATTCAATATTTTGTATTTTAGATGAGGAACTTTTTTTTATTTTTTTTATTTTTAAAGATAACAAGATTATAATTTTTTTCCCAATTAACATCACCAACTCCTAATAATCAAAATCAAATTTACAGATTGCTTACTAAGTATGTCACTGGTTACCTTGAGTTTCTGTTATATAAGTTGGTTACTAAAAACGATTGCATGTTATGTGCAATTAGCATTGTGAACACATCACTAAAGCCATACATATCGGTGAAGACCATTTAGACGACTAAAGCAAATGTTATCTTTAGGACCATTTTCAGTAAAGGACTCTTAAGAATGTGTTCGAGCAACAATGAGTTGATGCAAAAAATGATTTCTATTACAAAATCTCATTTATAGCAAGATTCGAAAAATGTCAACAAAAAAAATAAACACCCCACAAGTTAGCCTGATAATTTTTATAGCTAAAACTTTGAAGATTATTGCTTTTAAAATTTGTTAACTAGGCAATTAAACTTGTACATTATTTTAGATTTTGAGAATTTAAATATACTCCCAAATTAATAAATACAAAATTTAATGCTTTCCCTTAATTCCTCACCTATTAAATAACAACAAAAAACAGAAACGAAAACGAGCGAAAGGGTTGTCGATGCTTTTTCTGTCATGGAGTTTGAAACAATTTTCAAAGAAGATCCACATCCACTACTCCCTCTCTCAAACCACCACTTAAAACCCAACCCAGAAACAGAAAATGATTCTCCTCCAATGTGTCCATCTACTTTTCACCCTGCTAATTATGGTATCCATGTTTCTGGGTATGGATATGACCCATTTGGGACATTTTCATATGGGTTGGATGACCTTGAGTTTAAGCCGTTTGAACTGGAAAATAGTTGTGGAATGATGATGAATTATATGGATTGTGGGAGTTTGACCAATGTGGACAAAAGTCTGATGGGTGTATCCGGATTGGACTGTTTTGTGAATGTAGGTGATCCGAATATTTTTGGAGCAGATGAAGGATCATGTGTGACAGGCGAGAGTGGTATCATAAAAAGTAATGGGAAAAAGAAAACCAATTCATCAAAGGAGCAATGGACAAAAGAAGAAGATAGGTAACGCAACAATAGATTAGTTAATGTTAATACTCTTTTCAACATTTTTGAATTCTTGGTGTGTTGTAGGGTGTTAAAGCATTTGGTGGAAAAGCATGGAGAGAGGAAGTGGTCGTATATCGCTCCAATGTTAAAAGGAAGGATTGGCAAGCAATGCAGAGAAAGATGGCACAATCATCTCAGGCCTGACATCAAGGTTTGCTTTCCAGTTTTCATTCTCATTAATTGTATTTGAAAAACGCAAAAGGTTATAACTTACAAATTATTTTCTAACTACATTTGATGTTATTTAAACATGACATGATGGATCTGTACAAATCAAAACATCATCAAACGGATTGAGTATCAATTAAAAGATTTTGAAGAAAAATAATTGGATCTTCTTACAAAAGAAGTCATGGATTGGATCAATGGATCATATATCTAAGCTATTATAGTGATACCAATTAGACAGAAAAATATGTAAATAGTGAAAAGATATTATCCTGAAAATGTGATTGCTGATCATTTTTACTGAGGCATGCATGCAAGGAAAATAACATAAAAGTTAACGTGTCCCGTTCTAATTCATCCATAGATAATTGACAAAATGCAAAACACCGCATTTCCACATATTAGACGGTTCAATACAAATTTATTTTGACCATTATGTAACTTGTTTTTTTCTTTATGTTGTCATATTTTATCTGGAATCAATTTGTATTACAAAATTCGGTTTCTTTGTTTTGTGAATTTTGAATTTTCCAGAAAGATTATTGGACGGAAGAAGAAGATAAGATATTGATCACAACTCACGCAGAGATAGGAAACAAATGGTCAGAAATAGCAAAGAAATTACCTGGAAGAACCGAGAACTCCATCAAGAACCACTGGAACGCAACCAAGAGAAGGCAATACACCAAGCGAAAATGTCGATCCAAGTGGCCCAAACCAAGCCCAATCCTCCAAAACTACATCCGTAGCTTAAACTTGCCACGTGGAAAATCATCATCAGTAAACAACAATCACCCTTTGCCGATGGCTATCACTGACCACTATGAGTTTGACTTAAGTGATAGGTTGGTACCTGACTTTGACTTTGATGAGGTCCCAGAGTTTGCACTTGATCACAAGTTGCTTGGAGTGGATACCATTGACTCGTTGCTTGAAGAGATACCTCCGGTGAACTGTGGCGGCAGTGGTGGTGAGAAGAAACAGCTTGATTTGATGGAGATTATATCCCAAGTTAATCTCTAGTTTACACAGACTTTGTGCATATATATACTTTACTGAATAAAGAGGAGTGTTGATTGAATCAATCACAGATCCTAGAGAATTCTATTGCTTAAAAGATTGTACATTGTGCTTCAATATCGGTACCACTAATAACCTTCAAATCAACTAAAACAACGATTGGAAGTTGCTTGCATAACTCACCGGAATCAAGTTTTTTACTCAGAATATCTACCAAGGGTATTGTTGTCTTTTTAACAACAATGTAGTGGAATCTATTACCAAAAGATTTCAAATTTTATTGTAAACACAAGTAACAAGTTTATGCGGTCTTGGGCTTGATGCGTTTCACCTGTGAGTATAGGAATACTCCGGCAAGGGCGATTCCAGTCCCTGAATAAGATGGATTAAAATTGCAAGTGTTGGATTTTGGTTTATTGACAATTAAGGAAAAAAAAAAGATAGGGGCATTATACTAAGATGCTGTTTGTTTTTTTGAAGCAAAAATCCATAAAGTCTGTGGACCACCTCTGCAACCCTCTGCGGTAGAAGAGGTGGACCAAATGGCTGCAGACCGTAATAAGAAGCGTGTTTTTTTTTTTAACATCTGCATGCTGCTGCAGATATTAAAAAATTAAAATAAACTGATTTAATAATCCGAAAATAGTTTTTTAACACCGAAAATTTAATAATGTATGACATTTCGGCAAGAATTTATGATATTTCAGCAAAAATTAATGATATTTTAACAAAAAATAATGATATTTTAGCATAAAATAATGATATTTCATCAACAAATTATTATTATTCAATATAAAAAAAAGAAAAAAAATTTCAACAAGAATAAACAAAAAAAGAAACGAAAAAAAAATGTGAAATAAGATTTCAGTAATATATAATCAACATTTTAGCAAGAGAAGAAGAAGAAGAAGAGGTAGGAAGAGGCAAAACAAGTGTTGCGCCTAGAAGAACACGCGCAGATGTTTTTTAATCCGAAGACTTCTGAAAAACAAACAGCTGTGAGATGAAAAGTGTTGCGCGTGTGCTGCGCCGCGCAGCAATAAGAGGACTAAAGAGGTTTTTTCCAAAAAACAAACAGCACCTAAATTTACCTATGGAGTTGATAAGTGAGACGGGTGTGTGGAAGAAGAAAATAGAGGATACAATGACCACTACGCGCTTCACACAGTTTCCTACGGAATGTGTAACTGGAGATACTCTTTGCAGTATCATGTAAGCAACCTGTGTAAACAAATTTTATCAAAATCACAAAAAATTGAGCTATAAAGGAATTAGGTCAAACAGGTCAAAATTAAAGCCCACCCAAAGTATAGGTGTATTTGTATTGATTTAGATTACCTGCTGATAAGCATGGAAGCAGATTGAAGCAAGGAGAGACCTAATGTACACATGTTTGAGGTTTAGCCCCTGAAAATATAAAGAGGGAATAAATGGCCTGATGTTATTAAAATAAAGCACAGGGTAACAAATTAGTGCTTGGTTTTAAAGTTATACTCACAGCGGATTGTAGGTAAGAAGGGGTAAATTTGACTCCTTCAACGAGTAAGGCAACAGGGGTAAACAAGAAGAAAGACATAATTGTTATGATTGAGAAGAGGGTAATGTTGTCCAATGGTTCCTGTTAAATTTGCAGGTTCTTAGGTATATTTGCATTTCATGATGCCACATCAATAAACAGAAAGAATTATTAGCCAAGAATAGATTACCTCTTTCTGAACCATAACTTTTTTACTCAAAACATTGCGTGATTGATTTGCCAAATTGGACGCCATTGCACTCCAAAACCCAGGCCTATTTCCCAAATGCAAAACATCACAACATAATAAGAATTTAAGATAGTGATGCCATGTTTGTTATTGGGTTAACTGCAATACATAGCAACATACTTCCATTGATTTGTTCATCATAGCATCCGACTTTTATTTCTTCTTATTACAGCATTCTACTTTGGAAATTGAAATTCTACCCAGTTATAACAATGTCATCCAAACAAAAAGAAATCTTCACTGCTATAATTGGGTAGTATAGTGTCATAATAAGGAAAAAATTGAAACCAAAATGCTATGATTGGGAGATTTTTAGAAGTACAATGCATTAAGAACAAATTCTTTACAAGTACAATGCTGTGTAACAGAAAGAAATATAAGCAGGACACTATAGTATACACACAAATGAAAGTACGTTGCTATTGTGTCCTCACCAATTGAATGACACCTCGGTGAGAGATGCAAGTATCACTCCCCCAACAATAGGTACAAGGGAGCTCATTACCCATGCTGTTGGTATCTGTTTAGTGGGTAAAATAGGATTCATTACATATATGGGACAAGATATATTAATATACAACTTTTAAATGAAAATAAACAGCATCAAACGTGTCATTGATTAAAAAGTAGTAAAAAATGTAAGGAAATAGATAGAAAGCAAACCTCTCCTAGAAACATAGTAGATAGTATAACGGTGAAAAAAGGTTCCATTGCTTTGATTGTGTGAGTAAATGAAACAGAAACTTTTCCAAGACTCATGTTGGTTGAAAAATTGCCTAATGTGTGCATTACAGCCAATGGCAGGATTGCTACAAGCTGGGTACAAGTAATTAAATTAGCATCAAAAAATATATCTGATCAATTTCTTCATATGAATAGCATACCTGTGTACGACTGATATTCGGCCATTTATGAAGACTTAGTGCCCATGTCAAAAATATAATGGTAGTCCCAACAGCAAGCTGAACTGCAGTCAAAGTTACTGGATTTGGGAAAACCTCAAGAACCTGTAAACATTGATTAGTATGAATTGCCTTAATTCTTCAGACCAGAAAATTTAGAGGAAGTAATGATAAATCCATTAGGAGACTAATTTGACAAGGGTATTGCTGATTAAATATTTTTATTGTTACTTGGCTCTTCAGTTCCCCCTAATTTTGGGTTTGAAGTTGTATCTTCAGCAGTTTATCTTATTAATCACCTGCCTTCTCAGACTATATATCCTGATCTTATTTTTGTCTTTACTTGCAAAGATCTTTTATGTCTGATGTTTATATATGTTGTATGTCCACGTTAATTTATAGATCTTTGAGAATAAACATCAGTAATTAGATTGGAAACCAGCCTATAATCATTGTATATAATGTATTTCCATGTTTAAATTACACAGCCCTTAGAAAAAAAGAAAATAGTCTTGAAATTAGCCTAGCTTCAATAAAACTTTATCCATATATTCAATGAAAAAGTCAAGCAAATGGTATTCAACTATTCAAAGTTCAAACTATGATATTTCAATGGTTATTTGGTGAAACTAATCATGCATACTATTCTCACTTTGATATCTCAACAATCTAATTACTATCATGTATGTGTTCAAAACAGTGAACCACTTCACTGTTTGATTATTCCTTTTGTAGATATGTTTGGTAGCACCATATTAGTCATCCCGCAAAAACAGAAATGTTTAATTTACAATTCTAATAGAGCCTAGATATATACTAAAACATTTAGCAAAAACAGAAATGTTAGATTTACAATTCCATGTGATGATTATTTTGAAGTCACGAAAGAAATGCAAGAACTGATTCTACAGAGTTACTCCAAAATCACTGTAAATACATGATCCGAAACAAGTACTCGATATTTACACACAGGCTGAGGAAGCGAGCATGTAAATCAACAGATCATTTAATTTTTGCTTCGAGATTAAATCGCATTTCACATGCATATATAACTATGTATATTTGTACTCCATACATCGTTTAGATACCAAAATCAGACGAAACATAAAGCTTCCCTAGAAGAAGAAATCGAGCAAACCTGTTTGTTATAGATGTTGAAATAGATATTGAAAAGGTACCAGACTCCGAACAACAATCCAAGCACTAGCGTTTCGGCCATTTTCGATTTCGCCACAGCCGCCGCATCACTTTCATCGGCGCTATCAGGGACGGACGTCGTTTTGACTTCAAAAATATCAGATGATTCACGCCTTATAACCGGTAAACGAGTCCAAATCCGACCCCATGGCTTCCATGATGAATGCGAACAGCATAATGAACGCGATAAACGACCAGTTGAGTAAACATCGATCGATGATTCCGAATGAAAAGGAAGAGAAATATGATTGTATCTGTAAAACGAACTGTGATTACGTCTCTGGGAAAACAAAACTGAACCGGAGCCGGTGAATGCAGCGTGAAGCATTCTCGCCGCCATGGAAGGGAGGAGAGTGATGGAGGCGGTACCGAAGAAGACCGTGGAAAGGAGGGAAAACAAGTTCGTTTTCTCTTGTCCCTTTCTGATTTATTGCACGTAAAGAACATTTCTATTACGGAATTTTAAAATTAATTAAACTGACTCATGCTCTACTTTGTAACAATTTAAAGCAGATAAAATAAAAACTTAATTTAAATTAATTAAACATGTTCATTGTTGATAACTAGTAAAGTTTCCCGTGCGTTGCACGGGCCAGATATAATAACAATGTAGTTACATTTCTATACATATAATTGCAACATCGTTACAATACTTTTCTCTACTTATATTTCTTTACATAAAAATAGGAGTTATGCTATAAAGCCAGGACATTGGTTGTAAATTGTTGCTATAGGTAATGCATTGATGACTCTATACTAATGATCTGCAACAACAAACAATAGTCATTGATAAAGTTCATTCACCATTTTATTTAACCAACTGAACAAACCTGGGATCTATAATTGTGATTTCTTCAGTGCCATCTTTTCGTGGAATAGACTGATGTAGCTCCATTCTACACCATCCAATGTCTTTCATCATTCCATAAGCCACCTTGTCAGTACAAAAACAAAATAAAAACCAAAAATCAGTTTCTTTACAAAGGCAAAGGGTTTAATGGCTCAAAAGTCAAACCTGTAAACAGGCCAAGGTCACACCAGTGTTTTCTGCAACTTCTTTGACATATTTAAGCTTTGCTGAGTACTGATGGCATAGCTAACCAGAACAAAATATTAAACAAACAACAAAATCTAAAAT